TGGATGAGTTGTGTAAGAGAGAGAGCCTTTTTGATCCTTGTTAGTGTGATTTTGCAAAGAAGAAGGTGTTTCCAGCAAGAGGAGGTCAAGGGGATTGCTATTCTTTGTGTTTCCAGCTCAGATCTACAAGTTTGAGGTAGTAAATCGACCCCTTCTTCTGTTTAGTATGAGATCCTTGAATTTAGGGTTTTCTATACCCTTTTATTGGCTTGAAATGATGATTATATTATTCCTTTGAGTGTTAGACTCTGGATCTGGACCATTAGAGGTCCAGAGAGCCTTATCCTTCCTTCTTTATGTTGTTCCATGGGGGAAATGAACTTAGGTTGCCATTTTAGAGAAGATCTCACCCCTATGTATGTTGCATGAATGTAATGGTCGGACCTTTACGTGGTTATTGTGTATGGGAAGGGCAGATCTATAGGTTAGAGAAGTGGATCTGACCTCAGAAAGTCATTTGAGTTTTGCCATGGAAGCAACTCGCCGAGTTCATAAGTAGACTCGACAAGTCGAGTCAGGGTTGCCCCGCGATTCGTGAGAGGAGTAAGTCGTCGATTGAAGGGATGACTCGACATGCCAAGGGAGACTATAAGGATTCATAGGATCCGCATGGACTCGCCGAGTCGCCCATGTTCACTCGACGATTCGGGTCAAAGTTTGACCGTTGACTTCAGTTGACCTTAGGGTTTTGGCCAAGCTGATTCAAGAGAGTACAGGGAGGAGTAGAATGGCCTTCTACCCAATCTTTAGAGATGAGACTATGAGAGGGTATTGATCAGGAATGTTATTTGGTTGATAGGAGGAGGCTAGGTCGGGATGTCGAGCACGAGGGTTTATCCGACTTCATTCGAGGTGAGTCTTCTCACTATACTTTACCAAGAGTGGTAATTAGGGTTATGTGACAGAGTATGTTGTATGCTATTATATGATGTGATATCTATGTGATTCTGTGCTATGTGTGATTCAGAGTTTACAGAGTTAGGACCGGAAGGTCAACATAGTTAGGGTCATAGGGTCCACAGAGTTATGGGACTGGAGGGTCCCACTAAGACACTTTGAATAGAGGGTCATACAGAGTTATAGTCTTGAGTGGCTAATATGTGTTGTATGTGGTATTTTGGGGAACTCACTAAGCATTTATGCTTACAATTGTTGTGTTATGTGTTTCAGGTACTAGCGAAGATCGCGGGAAGGCGTCGGCATGATCTGTACACACTGATGAAGATTTATGTAATTGAGATTCTGGGGTTGTTTAAGAGATAATATGTGAGACAATGGAATTTGTTATGAATGAAATTATGTTTTTAAAATGAAAAATTGTTTGAAAATTTCGTTGTTACAGCTGATGTCTTGACAAAAGAAGTGGAATATAAGGATAGACTCTTCACTCTACAGGGTTGTTAGTGATGCTCATTTATTGAAGGGTTCTAAGAATGTCGTTAAACTACAAGTTGGAGGACCAAATCTATAATTTGATATGTAGTAATAGTTGGGTTGTTGCAAATATGGGATACAGTTGGATAGTTTCAGAGCCTTGGAGTTTCTTTTTTATTGTGGTGCAGATTGTTGTGTTCTTATGTATGATTTGAATGTTAAGAAGTCATTTGATGATGATCTCAACAACTTGAGGGAGATGCTAACATGGGAAGAACATTTTACGTATAAAAAATTTTAAATGTTTGAAATGTAAAATTTTTAAAGAAATATACCATGGTGGTTAGGCCTGACAATCATGTCGTGTTCGGGTTGGCGGATCGCGGATCGCGAGTTGGTGGGTTGGCGTGTCAAAATATACCAACACAAACACAACCTATTTAATTATACAAGTCACGGGTTGGCGGGTTTGGAACATAAACTCATATATGACCCGTCAACCCATTTATTTATACGAGTTCACAGGTTAGTAGGTTTGTAGTTATGATTTGGTTTCGTATGTTTGTGATTCAGATTCCATAAATAAAATTGATAATTAAACATGAATAAAATTTTGATGCAAACATTTCCAAATTTTAGAAACTTAGGTCTTAATCATCCAAATGAAAACATTCATGGAAACATGTTCAAACTAAAACATTAATACAAACATAAATAAATTCAATCGCAAACGTTGACGCCATTCGATAATGATTCAATCGTTCTTTTCATCGCTTTTGTGGGATATTTAGATTATTTAGGGCAAATATCAAACACGTTGCAATGCAAATCAGCACATGGTTACCCACATGTCAAATGATCAATGATATTGGGTATCATATTCTAGTATAAAGTATAAAATGTATATTGTATAATACTTAATACATTTAAACAATATATAATTTTTTTATTAAAATTCTAAACGGGTTGGCGGGTCAACCCGTATATTTTTTAAGAAACATATATATAACCTATTTAATAAACGAGTTGGCAGCTTGGCGGGTTGAAAAACCTAACCCAAATCCGTTTCTTTTGTGTCGTGTCGTAGATCGTATCGAGAAGGATAATTTTGACATATAAAAGAGTAAAATTTAGTTAATTTGTATGTGCAAATCATTGAGTCTAAGTTAGATATCTTTTCTGTTAGCTTGTACTCTTTTTCTGCCATTCACATAGAATTTTTTAGTAACGATGCGAGTAGATAAATAGTTTTTTTTAATACAATATCATTTCCGAGAGATATATAATAATGGAAATACAATTTAAAATATAATGTTTGCTTATTAATTAAATAACAAATATATTAAAATTATGAATGTCATCATATGTTAAACAGTTAAAGTTTAAACGAGACAAACAATATGTTTTTTTTTATTTCTTTTTATTTTTGATAAATAAGTCTACCATGTTAACTTATAAAATATATTCTTAAATTTCATTGTCCAAATATGTGTGTTAATATTATCTCCATCAACAACTCAATCTAATATAATTTTTTCATTAAAAAACTAATTTTTCTCTGCAAACACAATCCAACCTTATCTAATTTTTACACTCACTAACAGCTCAACCCAAACTATTTTTATTAAATAAATGTAATTTATATTTATATGGTATTTTATTAAAAACTAATAGAAATATTAAGAATAATTATTTTATTTTGCAAGATTTATAGTAGCAAATAGGGAATCGAAAAGATTAAAAATAAAGATTTATAAATATTATACTTTATAAACTTTAATAGTTTTAAAATAAGTTTGATTGAGATGATATTTTATAAAATAAAAACAATTCATCCTAGAAATATTTATGCACATCAATTTATATGGTGTCGGCACATAGTCAAATAAGAAATGGTTGTGAAGAAACGGCCTAGACCACCAAAAATAATTTTCTATTTATTTATTTTCTGATATGATGTGAGCGATCCTCCAAAAAAACCCCAATGGGATGGCCTAAACTAAAACTCTAAAAGTAACTAAAAAGGCCTATTTACGTATTATTAAAAAAACATTTATTTATTTCATTGCTTTCTTGTACGTGTTTAAGGAAAAAGAAGGTGATTGTTTAACAAGCATGCTCCTATATATTTTATTACATATTAACTAAAAATAATAATTGATTTACACACAAAACACCAAATTATATATAAAAATAACTTGTGATTGTATGATTAATGATTACGATTTTTATAGTCTCTATGTTGTTTTATAATATTATTATATGTTTCATTAATTTACAAATAAAAACGGTTTCATATATCTTGAAAAAATTATTTCATATATGTATTTAAATCAACGATTATAATTCTACATAAAACAAAAAACATAAATCTCATAATTAATTATTTATTGAAGACCTTTTACTATAAAATTTTATCTATTTTTATAACCATAATTCCTACGGACTATAACCTAACGAAACATATTAATATCGTTAATAAAACTTACAAAATATTTTTATGAAAACCCTAAAGCAGTACAAAATAATCTTTTAAAAACTTTGATTAAAAAACAGTTTGAAAGTTCAATAAATTGCAAAAGGTGGCAATTTTTTTTTCTTAAAGTAAATTACATAAATGGTGGTTGTGATTTTGTGAAATAATTATTTCATATATGTATTTAAATCAACGATTATAATTCTACATAAAACAAAAAACATAAATCTCATAATTAATTATTTATTGAAGACCTTTTACTATAAAATTTTATCTATTTTTATAACCATAATTCCTACGGACTATAACCTAACGAAACATATTAATATCGTTAATAAAACTTACAAAATATTTTTATGAAAACCCTAAAGCAGTACAAAATAATCTTTTAAAAACTTTGATTAAAAAACAGTTTGAAAGTTCAATAAATTGCAAAAGGTGGCAATTTTTTTTTCTTAAAGTAAATTACATAAATGGTGGTTGTGATTTTGTGAAATAAACAACTTTATACTAAATAATTAAAAAACGGATTTACTATTTTTTTATTAGTGCTAGTTTGATCCAAACCACAAGGACTATTCTTGCAAATTTGTCTAGAAACAAAAGGATGTTTTTCTCTCTTAAATATTACAAATTAAAATAAAAGTAAAAGTTAGCAACATATTATTTTCCAGAGAAATGATGAAACCAAGAATTCAATATTGATTGTTAAAATGTAGTTCAAAGTGTATCATATTTGAATCGTTTTTTTTTATAAGATCGGAATGATTGTATTACTATTTATTTTTTTAAAAAAATATATAACATTTTTTGTGGAGACTAATAAGTAATCATATATCTAAAGTATTTCTGATTTATGATATATTTATTTTGACATGAATAGTCAACTAAAACATATTTTCATTATTTAAACTGTTTTTAGGAGGATATATGCTACGTTTTAAATAAAAAAAACATTTTTCATACTACTAATATGGTACATTTTGGACGTGATGTTCTATGTTTTCACGATTTCATAGAAAATTTGCTTATCCACTCCTTTTAAAAGTCAGCTGAGGATGCAAATAAGGACTTATAAAGTGCCTTTAAAATCCCCCGAACTGGCACGTCATAGATACAACGTCAAACAATCATTTGAGAACAACAAGAAATGGCGAACTCAACTGCGGAGCTCATCTTCATCCCTGCACCATGGGTTGGTCACATTATGTCCACCATCGAGATCGCAAAACTGCTCGTGAATCGCGACAACCACCTCTCCATTACTGTCCTCCTCATTAACCCGCCGCCATCCTTCGGCTGGAGCTTCGCCGTCACCACCTACATCCAATCATTAGCAAACACCAAAATGGATCGTATATCCTTCATCAACCTCCCTCAAGACAAAAACTCACGAGTCTCAAAAGTTCCCATGGCTACCTTGACTGATTGTATCAACAACCACTGCAAATACGTAAGAAAAATTGTCGCCCACAAGATGAGTCAACCAGTTCCGGGGTCGGGTCAGGTAGTCGCGTTCGTCGTCGACATGTTCTGCACTGGGATGATAGATGTGGCAAACGAGTTTAATGTTCCGACATATGTGTTCTTCACTTCTAACGCTGCTTTTCTTGGATTTAAGTTGTACATCCAGACACTCTCTGATGACAAGAATCAGGACGTTGTCGAGTTAAGCAACTCAGATTCCACGATTCCCGTTCCGTGTTTTGTCAAACCAGTGCCCACAAAGGTTTTTCCGGCCACATGCCACACTCAAGAAGGGCTGGAGTTTATTTTGCGGTCTGCCCGGAAACTGAGAGATGCGAAAGCCATCATTGTCAATACATTCTTGGAATTGGAAACACACGCTATCGATTCGTTATCGAAAGAGAAAACCATTCCGATGGTGTATCCGGTGGGTCCTATACTCAACCTAGAAGCCGGTGCCGGAAAAGCGTCGAGTAATGATGATATCATCACCTGGTTGGACACTCAACCGCCTTCCTCCGTGGTGTTTCTCTGTTTTGGGAGCATGGGAAGTTTTGACGAGGTTCAGTTAAAGGAGATAGCAAACGGCTTAGAGCGAAGTGGCCACCGTTTCCTGTGGTCGCTACGTCGACCTCCTTCGGATCAAACAACAACAGCCTCGAGTGATTACGAAGACCCGGGAACGTTATTGCCGGAAGGATTCTTAGAACGGACTGCCGAAATCGGAAAAGTAACGGGGTGGGTCCCTCAGGTGGCTGTGTTGGGTCATGGTGCAGTTGGAGGGTTTGTGTCTCACTGCGGGTGGAACTCGTTGTTAGAGAGCTTGTGGTTTGGTGTGCCATCGGCTACATGGCCAATCTACGCGGAGCAGCAGCTTAATGCATTTGAAATGGTGGTGGAGCTTGGGTTGGCGGTGGAGATTAAGATGGATTATAAGAAGGATTTTGTTAATCAGAAGGCTGGTAAAATGGTAGTCACGACGGAGGAGATTGAAAGTGGGATAAGACGATTGATGGAGGATTACAAGTTGAGGAAAAAGATGAAAGAAATAAGGGAGAAGAGCATAGCGGCGGTGGCGGAGGGAGGTTCATCGTATGCTTCTGTAGGGCGTCTAATTAAGGACTTTAAACGAAACTTGTTATGATTTCTCTTTCAACTGTTGTGTACTTAGTTAATCACATATGTAATGACTAGGGTTCATTATGTAACTGATATATTAAATAAACAAATTAATTAATTAATAAGAAAAGAAATATACAGTACCTTTAAAACTAGTAACATTTAAAACTAAACGTCAAAGGTTATATGAATTGTTTAGTTGTAACTTGTGTGCTTGTATTGTACCAAAGTTTGTGGAAAGGGAGACATGAGTTTCCAAGTGTTTACAATGGAAGGCTTAGAAGTGAAATGAGAAAATAGTTGGTGCATGTTATATGTGGATCGAAAGGGCGGGAGGGATGAACTCTTTCAGCCGTTGAGATCTTAAGTTCATTTTCAAAGTATTGATGTAAGAAGGTGAGCTACATATATGTGGTGTCTAAATTCATTGGTTATCCAACATCAAAGAGCAAAAACAAAATTTAGTGTATTTCCTTTTCTCCTATTCTTTAGATTGTGTAACTAATAATAATTTTTATGGAATGATGTATATTGATATCAAAAACAAAACTGCTTTAATTTGAGCAGTACAAAATATCTTTATGAAAACCCCAAAGCAGTACAAAATAACCTTTTAAAAACCTTGAACTAGAGAACAAGTTGAAAGTTCAATTAGTTGTAAAAGGTGTCATAGTTTGTTTTATTTTCTTTAGAGTAAATTAATTAAATGGTGATTGTGGTTTTGTGAAATAAACATCTTTGTCTAAAGTTTTTTCTTCCATTAAATCGGTGGTTTCTATTGTTTATCAAAACTTTAACAAATGACAATTTTACGATGTATTTTTTTCTTATTATCTTTTTTTTTTTTAAAAGTAATTTTATATTTTTTATACACTAATATATTAATTTTAATGATTTAATAATTAAAGCGATCCAAATTTAAGACATGAACACGTGTGGATAGAAATTAGAAATCAATACTACAACCATCATAACTATGCTTTTCGGTTACGACTTTAAACCCTACCTAGTAATGTATCTATACAAATAACATATAAGATTACATTATATGACATTGTTAAATATATAGAAATAACATAAAAGATTACATTACATGACATTATTAAATATATCTTACATAATTAAACAATTAAATCGAACGATAAAAACATTTGTGATAAAAGATTGTCAACACCAAAAGTACAAAAAAGGGATCCATAATATCATGGGGAGAAACTACAACTCTTTAGTTGTCTGAGAATAGATGTTCTAAATATATGTCAACAAAATATTGTTGATGAGTTCCATAAGGTTTTTGTCTATGTGTACTTTTACGACCAATAGAGTATTTTATATAAAAAAGGATGAATGTCGAGTTATATTAAATAAAAACTCTTTTTCCAACCTGAAAGTACAAAAATATAACTTGTTTTCACACTTGCAATTCCATGCAAGTAAAAATATTGTTTTTATAAATAACTCATTAGATATAAGTCTATAAGAATTGAAAACTCGTGTTGAAGGGTTTATTAAGTAATATTCAGCTTAATCCATTAACCAACATTTATCAATTTAAGCAAAACATTCCCACTGCGTACAATTTTATTTCAAATGTCATATGAGTGTACAAACCACATATAAATCATATTTCAATTCTATATGTGCATAAAAACAAACTCTAACATCTATAATAAACCTATAACCGAATTATGGACGGGCCAACCTCTGCACCAACATTATAAGGAGGCAAGTTGAAAAACATTACCAACACTTCATCAATGTCGTAAAATAACAAGAGACTAGACATCAATGCCCGTTTCGACATCAACGCCCGTTTCTACTCATCAGACGATGGTTGTAGCTAGCAACCATAGGTTGGATTGTCAACCCATATAAATCTATATAATTGGTATATACAATCTGTTTCTCATTCCTTGCAAATTAATGGTTACAGCAGAGAGTTTTTAATAAGATTTGTGGTCTTAGTTGATGAAGAAGATCATCTCATATAAGAAGTCGTGAGTATAATAGATCTTATCGATGTGCGTAAGTATTTTAGTCAGAAACTTGTAGTTAAAAGTTTGTTAGACTATTATTAGTTCCTACAATTTTGAAAACGATAATTCAAGTCTTAAGTTATAAAATTTACTAGAATTAACATTTTCAAAAATTGTATCAATTTTTATCATAAAAAATTGGATAGCATAACGATTACATTTTGACCAAAAACCATCTTTCAACCAATGTAAAATCAACAATTTCAATATATAATCACAAGTTTACATAATCGTTAACAATACATCATTTGTAATAAAAGAACATTTTAAGGTAAATAACCGACACACTTTAATAACCATTGAAGTTCATAGTAATGTATCTAATAGTTAAAATTTAATATTGAAGTATGTTATATAAAAATATTGGGTTTAGTTTTATGTATATATATATATATATATATATATATATATATATATATATATATATATATATATATATATATATATATATATATATAAAAGAGCGTTTAATCAAGAAATTTTTTATTGCGAGAACATTTAAGAACATATTTGAACCGCATAATTTTTTTTTAATTAAAATTATAAAATAATATTCATATAAACTAAAAAATAATTACACACAATTAAAAAACTCACTAACTAACACCACTTATCACCCACCACTACTACCTACCACCCATTACTGCCACCTGCCACCAACCACCAACCACCCACCAACACCAATCACCACCCGCCACCACCACCACCCATCACCACCCGCCACCACCTGCCACCACCACCACTTACTAACCACCCATCACAACCACCACTACCACCACCAACCAGCAGCTGCCACCACCATCACCATCCACCTTTACCACCTAACCACCACCATCTGCCACCACCACCCACCTCCACCACCCATCATTACCACCCCTACCACCACCTATTACTACCCACCACTACCCACCACCACCTACCACCACCCACTACAACCACAACCATCACCACCTGTCACCACCCTCACCACCCAAGTACCACCACCCACCAACACAACTGAATCGAGAACGCGAAAATGAATATTTTCCACATAAATTCTATGTGATTAGATGTATCTAATAACATGTGATTATATGCATTTAATCACATATGATATATGTGGACGATATTTATCTTTGTGTTCTCGATTTAGTAGTTGTTCTCGTGTATATAATCTTATATGATTATATGTATCTAATCACATATTATTTATATAGACATCATTATTTTTTGTCCATATACATCATATGTTATTAGATACATATAATCACATGTGATTAGATGTATTTAATCACATATGATTACAGTTGATAAAGAACAATTATTGAATCGAGAATGTGATAATGAATCTTATCGATATATATATATATATATATATATATATATATATATATATACACACACACACACGATTGGATACATATAATCGTATGTGATTATATGTATTTACTCAAATATGATTTATGTAGACGATATTTATTTTGTGGTTCTAATTGAATAATTGCTTTTGTGTATTTAATCACATGTGACTATATGTATATAATTACATATTCTTTGAGGTGGACAAGATTCATTTTTTCCTTCTCGATTCAATAGTTGTGCTTATGTACTTAATCACATGCGATTAAACATATAATCACATATGATAGAATACATGAGAACAACTATTGAATCGACAAAGTGAAAATGAATTGTCACCACATAAATCATGTGGTTAGATTCATATAATCACATGTGATTAGATGTATTTAATCGCATATGATTAATTTGGATAATGATTTGTTTTTGTGTTCTTGGTTCAATATTTGTTATCATGTATATAATCACATGTGATTGGATGTATCTAATCACATATGATTTATATAGACTATTCATTTTTTTCAAATAAAATCATATGTGATTAGAAACATATAATCACATTTGATTAAATATATTTAATCACATATGATTAAAGTGGTAAAAAGATAATTATTGAATCGAGAATGCATAAAAGAAGCGTAGCCACATAAATCATATGTGATTATATACACATAAGAAAGTTAATACAATATTGACTTCTAGAAGTCCAACTGTTTTCTGGATACATGTCAAAGCTAGTAGGAGCATAAGTGTTATGCTAATAATCATCATGTTAGTGGACGCATGATAATTATTAGTATTGCAAGATAGCAATGTTAGTTATAGAAGAACAAAAGTTTCAATTTGTAAGGTTCAGGGGTTGAAAAGTTGTTTTGCTATAATTAAGGGAAATGAAATTATACTTCATTTCAATTCTAAAAGGATTAGATTAAGATTTTAATCATCTTTAGTCAAGAATATATATATATATATATATATATATATATATATATATATATATATATATATATATATATATATATATGAATTTTATGTTGGTTTGGTTCAACTTAAGAAAATTATGTATATTGCGTTTTGAAAATTCGATTATGATTACGACATCTCTCTTCATAGTCAAAATTTGAGAACATGTCTAATAAAAAAAATATTGTAGCAAAAGACTGGTCTATAATCATGTCTTTATGTGAGACATCATGAATCGTAACCCATATGCTTCGGATATAGCATTGATTCATGTGCTATAATATTTATCCTTTCTAATTTTTCCAAATGCCTAGGGGCATTAAGAAGGGGAAAATGTCTAGAGTTGGATGTGACTAAAATGATTAAGAAATTGTCGAGGATAATCTAAGGTTTTCCAAAGATTGGTTGCTTAGGGACAGTTGGAAGTATAATGTTAACTTTGGAAGGACATATTAACATAGGTGGAAGTTATTCAATTTGTGTAAGATTAGAAAAAAAATTAATGTGAGAAGGATGTTTCCATGGAGTTGATCTCCATTGGAATACTCTGTAATGTATGTTGACAAGTCTTTGTGACTTTGTGCATAATCATTACAAGAGGATCAATAAATATAAGTTTAAATTCTAACAATATTTCGGTAAATGGCATGAATTTGGAATTCTTGCATTTGCTGTAAGGATTTGGGAG